AAAAATTAGTACAGAATTCTGAATGAAGATAAATTTTGTAGACATCAGTGATATTTTATAATACGATGTTTTTTTGTTTGCTGAAAGCTAATTTGAAGTCACGGTGAGAAACATGAGTTTTCTTGACAAAAAGTGCAGTGGTGTTGATTTCTTGAAGGCCCTGTCACGGCAAACTGACTTTTTGGCAAATCACAGTCATAGTCATTGTTTGCTGAAAGCTAATTTAATACACGATGAGAAATACGAATTTTCTCGATAAAAGACTGATGTTTTATTGATTTTTAGAAGGCGCTGTCACGGGAACCTATCTGACTTCTTGGCGAATCACTCCGCCGTTTGACTGTAGGGGGTTATTTACCTTTCCCAGCAGATCAAGCGATAGAAGTGATGGTTTCCAGCAGGTGGAAGCACGTCTGTGGTTTAACCCTGCCCGCCACAGGCCATCCTTCATCCAGGCGGGTCCAACCAAGTGCCGCTCTGGAGGACAATTGTCGTCATCTTTTTTCCGAAGCATATTGTTCCCTGGTGTTCGCTTTATCTCAGTAAATTGTTCCACGAAGCCTGATTCATATTAGTGTTCTTAACCTTGACCCAAGAGGAACAGTTTTGGAAATTAAAAATGTAGTATCTCAGCAAAATCGAGTCAAGTCAGCATGAAAAAAAGCTCTTTACACAATTGTTACTCAAGAAACTGGATGAATTTTGAAAACTGTCAGACATTCTATGTAGTGTTTACTACTCATGATACTACTTGAAACTTCTAACAGTTTTCAAAACTAAGAACTAGATGCAGCTCTGGAGGATATGTCGTCATCTCTTTTTTCCGAAGCATATTGTTCCCTGGTGTTGCTGGTATAGCAAAGTAAAGGCGGAGGGTGTAATTGTATACGTGAATCTGAGATTGTATGTAATGTATTAATTAATTAATTAGTATTCAACAGTTCGATATTGGTGAGTTCTTGTAACCTGCAGTGCTGCAATGCGGACTGCCTAGTTTATCTGAATTACGTGTATATCATTACCTAGATGTCTGACCTTCTTCTGCGTACCCCAGCTCTTTATTAACGTTGCTGTAGGTACTAGGTGATCTGATGGCACAGCACATGGACACAAGGTGATCAGAAGATAAGGACGTAGCTCACAAAGAGCCAATATTAAAACGTCGCCGGCAGCTTGCTGGTAACGTTATTAGAACATCTTCTTTTGGGTATTTCATTAAATAGTAGAATGGCTGTCACCGTGTAATTGCATCAAGGCATAGATAGATTAATTTTCAAATTCAAACTTTATTCATCAACTTAGCAGTCCTTAAACTGAATAGATTATACAATTTGCCAATTATAAGAAAAACACAGTACTGTTAATAAGCAACATTTCATCAGTTGAAAAATATTACATTACATAATCGATTAATCAAAATATGGTAAATATATTAAAAGTACATGGATGACGTATAGACACACAGTGATAAAAGAAGTACGTAATATGAATAAATGTAATGTGGACGACAAAAAAAAATATGGGCCTTAGCCTGGATTTTGTAGGTTTTTGATGGCCCTCGCAACAAAGGAGTTTTTGTGTCTTTCAGTCCGGCTGATTATCGTTGATTCATCATCATATGTGACACAGTCTGTAGCAAAAATGAACAACCTTCACATTCTAAAGTTGTCTGAAAGGTGCAGCCAAATAGTAGGTCAAAAAGTCAGCCTATATATAGGAGGTGGTCAAATATGACATATTGACATCGGTGAAAGGCCGCGGTGCGATGTATTGGTCCCCATGTTGCAGCTTCAGAATCTATGGCTCAACGAGATCAATTTTATTGCCACGTTTCTTTGCCACATAATTCTTATAAGCCCCGTGACAGTTCGAATGGAAAAGTTTTGCTATGCAGTACGGTTCTCTTAGTAGTATCTCTACTGTTGGTAGTGCCGTCTAACGGCTTGAAGGCATCAATTTGGTAGTACCTTTCCTTTGCAACATAATTGATACGAACCTTTAGCAGTTGGGGCGGAGAAGTTACAACCAAACCTTTGCCAGAATGGCATAAAAATACACACATAAATGTTAGACGTGTACATCTAGACCTGGACACTAAATACCAAGGGCTACAAAGCAACAAATCTGCAGCATTAAATGGTCAGTAAAGCAGTTCTAAATAATGAAAACAGTAAAGCATACTGCTTGAACCTCTCTTAGCACTATTAAAAACATGAAGGCAGGCGGAATGTGACGTGTATTAATTATACCTGTAGGGGGTATGGGTATTACATTTGAATTGATGGCCTTGATATAATCTATAGTGGGGTGGCATTGCCTCTACAATCCATCAATCATTGGGGAAAATAATTAATCTGCCTTTGCCCAGGATTACCGGCATCAAAGTCAAGTAGATACAAAGTTAAGTATTTGTCAACATTTGATGGCGTCCTACTAAACTTTCATATTAACTATGGTTTTGGACTAAAATTGCTTGTAATTTGTACACTCTTGAAGTTTAGGGAACCTTCATGATATCTGATTTAGATATAGATAAAATATGCATATCAGAAATAGTTAATGTCGACTGTGTTGGGCCGGCACATCTTGTTTTACCAATGACAGCATCTACATTTGAGTTTCAGTATACGTCAATATATCACATAGCGGAAATATCTATGTGATGCATCTACCTTAGGTCATGCCGGCGTTTCCAGTATCGCTTCCATCAATCTTGACACCTGCACCACATGGGCACAGCGCAAAGTATCAAATAGTCATTGTGTGCCATTGGGTACCATAATGGTAAGGTAAGAGGCAATGAGGAATCCTCAATGTATTGCATAATATCGTGCTTGAAATACCCAAAGCATATATGAATATATTTATATTCCTAGAAAAGTATATGTATATACCTAGAAAAGTATATCTATATACTTGTATATGTACATAAACAAAACCTTAGGATCTGTTGAAAAATAAATAAATATAAGGTTATTGTATGAAATTAAGCTTTACAGTACGAATATGCCAGTCATGTGACGACTAAATACCTTTGTTATTATAATTCTTTGGTTGATGATTTTATCAAGAACCATGAAAAGTTATTTTACCCAATAAGTCTTCATCATAAATTATTAAAAAAATAATGAAAGCTACGATGCCCTTCACCAGTTAGATGGAGTATCTATGAATGCTGATTGAAAACGTCTTTTGGCAAATATATATTATTTGCAACTAGAGCTGTGTACCTAAACACATTTTAGGTACAGGTACAGGTACACAGGTTTAGGTACAGGTCCGGACCTGAACCTGTACCTGAACAATTCGACCAGTTTACATGCTCTTCTGAACTCCCTCAATAACAAGGAAAACATTGATAAACTTGATAGTTAAGGTTTAATGTTTGTTTATGGGGAATGCTCAGATAAGATATAGGCAACAGTAAGATGATTTGTTTTCATGAACACACTGTCCTTTCACTGGGACCCATGGGGGACTAGCTATTTACTCATTTGAGGTCACAAATAGGCATAAAATCGGTTTGAAATTGTTTAGGTACAGTACCGGTACTGAGGGATTAGGTATTTTGGACCTGTACCTAATCAATTTTTCCGGTACAGTATCGGTACTGCGTATCGGTACACAGCTCTATTTGCAGCTATCTTGAAATGTGATCATTAAGCATAAAAATTTACTCTGCCGATAAAATTGGAATTTGTTTTTACAATATTGTAATTATTTCCCGTGCAAAATATGTGGTACAATGCTTGACGGTGCATCATCTCACCTATATCTTTTTTATGTCGTTTTCAATTAATATTAGTTTTATGCATTGAATAAATACACGATATCTTTGGCAGTATTTTTAGGAACGTAAAACAAAAAGTAGGTATAACCAACGATTGTTCATCCTAGATCAATTGATAATAAAATAGACGCCCTTCACCCGTCAGATACAGTATTTGTGGATATCAACCAACAGCATATTGGAAAATACGGGTTATTGGCAGCTGTTTTGAGATATGAGCATGTAACGCTCAATTTACTATATGCGGGTAGAATTGTGGTGGTTTCTGACAATGTTGTAATCATTTCTTGTGAAAAAATAGATGCAGAAACTTGCCTCTAATGATTTCTATCTTTTCACTTTGGTTGTAAAAATAACTTCAACATAGCAGATTTAGCTCGTGTGATCATTTTACCATGTCTGTAGCAGGTACTTACTTACCCTTACTCCTTCCAAATGCCTCTACTGTCATCGATACATCGGGAAACCTTAGATTAACGGCCGGGGTTTAATGACTAGGTGGTCCGGGTTGGGAACAGTGTGTGTTTTTGTAGAGATAAGAGTGTAGTGTATTTCCCTTCGTAACCTTCCTCGTCCTTTCGTCATCTGGCACCATGTAAAAAAACACAGGGCAGTGCCATGCCTTACTATTTCATTACCATATTGATTTTTGTTCGAGGCGGGACAGTCATTCGGGAGAAACCGGCAAATCACAGCTCTCCTAGAAGCACGAGTGCTTCCCTGGGAAACCAGTAGGCTTCTTCACGTTTGAGTGGTCTTTGCGGGGGTTTCAATTACCTGCTACCAACGCTGCAGCGTCTTCAAGGTTCCGTGTATGGGAGAACTGCTTCGCTATGAGTCGTGCTGTCGGTGAGTAGCACGCCTTCAAAATCAGCGAGTCGTTCCTTCAGGCTGACTGATGTAAGATAACGGTATGCATTGACACTGTGGAGCCCGCCATCGCGGATGTCAGAAGAATGTGAGAGAACCCTTTGATGTGGAGACCAAGCGAACGACCTGGTATTGATAAGAGAACACCCCTCCAGCGATCCACCACACAGACTGCAACACCACCAGCTGCAGTCACACGGAGAGAGTCATAGGAAACGGATCGGTGTAGGACTCCGCGTTCGAGAGGTTTTAAACGATTTTTCATCCAGCGCAATGTATCACTATAGTTAGGAAAAACTCATTCACCATCATCTACAGCTACAACAACAATAAGAACAACATGTGGAGGTTTGATGTGATCATCTTTGCTCATTGCTCGTTGGCTATGGTGGCATTTGGAAACATGACCAACACTACTGGTGAGTATCCCTTCATTTTGCCATCGATAGTTTCGCGTTAGCACCTCTGGAGATACGATGAAAAGCCAGGCAATCTAGTTCTAGGGACCCTGATGTCTTTTGCTTGACTTAACAGTTTCTCCAGGGAAATTTGCCGGATGTGCCGTGTTTTACGTAGCGAGAAAGTGTTTATTGTACTATATCCAGGACATTTCTGAACGGCAATATCAACAAAGGGGTCTTCTATTCATCATACTTAAGGAAATGCAACGTCCATTGCGTTCTGAAGTACTGCAGCGTTTTTCATTTAACCCTGGACATGAAGCATAGAATGGTGTATGTTTCCACGTTATGAAGTTTGGACGTTGTCAGCATTGACAGTAAAGCTTGAATGTTCATCTGCGGTAAAATAATTCATTCTGATAGAGGCATTTTAACGGCAATTGCCAACTCAAAGACTTCGATTTACGCCTGTATGTTTTCGCTGTACAACACCAGTCATTGGTACTGTGCAAAGGATTTTGAAACAGATTTTTAGTCAAATTTATTTTTAGTTGTTAGCGACAAAACAGTCCTATGTGTTGCCTAACAAGTAGAATTATGTAGTTTTCCCCATCAAAATTTTGCCTCTAGTATCCTACCAATTGTTACTTAAAAAGCAAGTTCTATGGTAGTGGATACTATCTGATACCGATAGGTTTATAATTCTTAACTTCTTTTTCTACAAATGCTACAAAGTGCCCGTGGAGATCTCTCTCTGCCGAATTCCATTTCGGACATTGCCTTCCAATCTCCGCTACGGCATTGCAGAGCCAGTAGAAATTGAAACCAAAGCTGTAGCTTTACATTGAACGGTGTGCATGCGGTATGTTGCTATCTGCAGTGGAGGGATGGGTGTTAAACCTCATCAGATTGCAGGTTCGAAACACATTGCGGATTTGGTCCTCTCGTTGGGGACCTATAGGTAATAATTGGGCCCCATTACTGATGAATAATGATTGGAAAGATGCTTGACAAGCATGCTAAAGGCATGCATCTCTTTACGAGGGATCTGGTAGGGACTGTGGCCTTACTGATGCTATGAGTAATCTTAAACGATCGTCTCAAAGATTATCACGACGTTGCTCCCTTGCATTTAGCTGGTTGCCGTTGCGTGTAAGTTCGTGTTTCTGAAATCAAAGCCACGATGCTGTTGACCTGGAATGCAAATTGTTGCCAGGGCCTGAACAAGCTTGATCTTCGGCACAAGGGGCAAACATACCCGAAGGAAATGTTGCCTCAGCCCCCTTGAGGTTAGTTAGCCAGGCGGAGCGAAAGCCCACTGTGGCCGAACAAATCCAGCCTGAAGCTTTGGGTAACCAGGTTGCGACATTGCCTCCCAGTGAACTCATCACAGTCGAATCGTTATTCATTCCACATCTTCCCTACTTCATCAAATCAGTGGCCATTTTATGGGCTTTCCGAAGCCTGATACAGTTGTAATAGGGCAGGTGATGGATCGCTCTCATCAAAGGACAGTTGTATTATTGAAGGGACGTTCCGTAATAAAATGCATGTTAGATGGAAACCATTTCACGACCTCCTTTAGAAGTTTATATGTAGGACGGTGAAAGTAGCTACAAAATTACAACGTCAATTAAGTGTTTCTGTGAGCTCAAATAGAATGTGGATGTTGTTTAACGTGCCGTTTAATGATTTTTCCCCTTGTACAAGTTAGAAATCTGCTGATGTAGCACTTTTATTTAGAAAGCGTTCTCTAGTTATTGTAATTCTGGCGTGAGAGTTATGTAATAAAATAAGTAAAATACGTTATACCCACTCTAGATCTGGAAGCAGCAAGGTAATTGTGAAGTAAACCGGGAGTTTCCGTGTGGGTCCAATAAGAATGTGGATTTTGGGGGAATATGATATGAGGGCAAGTAATGGCCAAACCATTTTAGGGCTTCTCTTTAAAGCTAAATGAAGGGTGCCGAGAATAGCAACGTGATTACGACAGCGATAAAATGTTTGTGAGCAAGCAAAATAAAATAAAATGCACGTAAAACGGTGCCGTTAAAGATATAGTTTTATGAGTCTTTACAGTTTAAAACCCTCTTGATAAAACAGTTTACAAAGCAGTATCTTCAAAGAAGATGCAGCGCCCTCGTATCAAATTACATTTTTGTAATAAACTTGTCATGTCAACGTATGATCAAAGAAAGCCATTACATGGAAGGATTTGCAGGGAAGGCCACAGCACGTAAATTTTATGGATGACATCCTCCGCAGACTCCAAATCTAATGCTAGCGGGCGAAAAAAACAAAACAAAGCAGGCCGAAAAAAACAAGGTTCCTACATTTTAAAATTTTGACTCAATCATTGTACAAATGAATAGCAAAGTTCTTTCTATCACAACCATTTATTTTTCTAAGTCCAACGTTTCGATGACCTTCTGTCATCTTCATCAGGGCAATACTAGAGTGATTACATGAGTATGAACAGTGAGAACATCACATATACACGGCCAGCATCACATATCACTGCATCAAAGTAAGAAACAAGACATTAAATCAGAGCCTTTTCTTGTCTCTTCTCTTCTTAGTTATCTGCCATTCACCTTTCGGTATGGCAGCAGACATCTTTGCCCATCTCCGGCATGGTGACCACTGTCAGAAGGCAACAAAATTTCTTTTTTTTTTCCAAAATCAGGCCAAAATTAATGCGCGCGCCGATGTCATGCCATAAAAATCACTCGCTGTGGCCTAATATATACGGCGGTGAAAGAAGCTTTATAGTGGTGAATCCCATCAGGTGTTGCTGATGACTGCATGTGCATTAGGTTGGGAAGCATGCCACGAGGGCATCGCTTTAGTCTTATTGAGAATTTAGAATCTTTGTTATAATATAATCTACCCAGTGACTTCATTGAAGCAGAGTCTTATAAGAATACAGAGACTGATGGGGTCGACGCAAATCATTTTATGGCTTTCCTGCCAACGCCGTTTTCCTCGGTGGTTGAAATAGAAATGTAATTATGAATTCAATTACAAGTTTTTATGGGCCAAAATGCAATGGTAAAGCTCGTGGAAATTGACATCATACACATGTTACACGATAGAATATGAAATGTCTTTGTCTAAATTTGAACAGTATAGGTAACATATTGTATTTCGAAGTGAATACATTATCATGATAGAAGGAGTATGGTAGACTGTTTGATCTTTCTAGCAATCTTGATTGCCTTGCGAAATAAATTAAAACGTTTAAGGATTTTTATTCGATGACGATGATTGGTCAGAGAGAAGCCCAAAACTATATATTTCCAGTGGTGTAATACAGTAAAACGTACAGCCTTTGTAGTCCTCGTGGCAAGGCTAAAAATCTGAGCAGCAACTTCTAACAGATGGTGCTACAGTTAAGAGGAAGCTTTCCTCTTAACATAACGTTTATAATTGTCAAAAGAATAATAAAGGTTTTGTCTCTCAAAGTTTATGGTGAAGGGTTCAAGAACAGCTGGGTCTACAGCCGACCCTAAAGACCGCGAAACTTACCACGAGTACAAAGTCCCATAGAGGTACATGTCGTTATACGTTTTGGAGCTTTCAGCTTCATACAGTAATTGAGGATATGTCAGAGGAATCTTCATTGATCTCGTATGCTTTTGGTGTCTCAAGGGTTATTTTACTTCATGCTGTGGAAGCCCAATCAATCAATCAATCAATCAATCAATCAATCAATCAATCAATCAATCAATCAATCAATCAATCAATCAATCAAATAGTGTTTTATTCATAAAAACGTGGACTTTGCAGCCAACGGCTGAATTACATCCAGTTGAACATCCAAATTCATTACATACTTATTTACATTTATTTAGACATGCATTAACACAAATATCCACATCATTACTCACAACGTCTTTGACATACTGTGTCTATAATAAGACAAACAGTGACTGTTTAATAGATAGATCATATATGGGACGCTACTCTGTTTGTACCGCTCCGTTCTACATTTGGTAAGAGTCAGTTTATTACTGAAACGAGTGGTGCGCTCAAGCCCACGCCGGAGTACAAGATAAAAATAAATGGTTTTTATTGTCCAAACAGTACCCGTGCAGTCGAAGCCTTTATACGGCTGAATTGATGCAGGGTATCACATAATAATCAATACAAATCACAACAATTACAACAATCAAATAATACACATGATACACATATTTGTTCCACAATTATTTTTTGTGGAACTGTCGCAAGGGTCTGTGCGGCTGCCATTCAGCGCCACAAGGTGACCTCAATACGACTTCCCCAACCGAAGTTAGGTACCCATTCACACCTGGGTGGAGTGAGGAAAGTCGTGTAAAGTGCCTTTCCCAGGGGCACAACGTCGGGGCGCATGTTCAGACATGTACCGGGTACGACTCGGAATCGAACGCGGGTCTCCCCGGTTCATAGTCGATTGCTCTAACCACTACACCACCAGACGCCACTCTAAACATCAAGATCAAGGGTTATCTGAGATTGGTATCGACCTTGGCTTCTACTCTTTTAACTTTCATCCTTAGGGAACAGATTGCCAGTAAAGATTTCCGATCAAGAAATGTTAAACTGTCAGCGATTTACCGAAATAGAGCAGTTACTGCGTCTGGATGGCGCCTTGAAGAGGATTGTTCTCAAAAATGTGG